CTATAGTCTCAACTCCTTCAAGGGTTTTTTTTAGGGGATGTTTTAGGGGGGATTATTATAGGGGATATTAAGAGGGATACTAGTTAGTAGTTTAGACTGTGGCTCATATGTGGATACATGTGTAGAAATCAAGTTTTGCAGTACGAAAAGAACAAAATGCATATAGCTGTTGGTGTAGAAGTGTGCGTAATGGGGCATATCATATGGCATGTAGAAAGGGTGCAGAAACAGTTTTTTTGTGGCATGGAACGCTGTAGTTGCATGGGTCTTAAAAGGCCTTGAGAATTCTTCAAGGTGCAGTTGGTGTCTTGTGTCACCCATATCAAACCCTAAACCCTAAGCCCCTAATCCCTTATGGGATGCAACGTAGGGCGCTATCAGATTCCAATTCTGGAAACCTTTTTGCCCACCGTTATTTAATGGCCTTTCTGAGATGTTACTGACTGCTGTAGCCTGGTTGGATTATCCCCTTTGCAAGTGCACTTCTAAGACTCATGGATGTCTACTGGACACTAAACCCTAAACTGGACCTTTCAAAGCCTTAGCCCCAGATTTCGAATCGGCGCCCTAATTCCCCAAACCTTCAACCTTGTGCACAAACCCCATCCCACTGCTAATCTTTTTCGTTGCTTCTTAGAAGTGGTTCTTTCAACCCTGAACCCTAAACCCACAAATCCTAGAACGTAAACCCTAAACCCAGAACGTAAACCCTAAACCCTGATTCCTAAATCCTAAACGCAGGTCGGACAAAGGAGTTGCAAAAAAAACTAAACCCTAAACCCAAACTCTAAGCCGCATCCTTCTGCCAGGTAGATCAGCGCGCAGCGCTTTTTGGCAGCCGATTTCAAGGTGTTTCCGCATATCGTACTGGGGGTGGTCGCGAATAAGGGAATATTAGATATCCCTATATGAGCTAGGGTCTGAACTCCTCAATAGGGGGTTATATGAGGGATCGTATAGGGGGCAATCATAGGGGTTATTAAGGGGGATATAAGGAGTTTAGATTACAACTCATAGTAGTCACAATACACTATAATCCCGCATCCCCTACTAACCCGGATTTAGGATTTGGGTTTTTGGGACTGCTGTGGAGTTCTTTGTTGGCGTCAAAGTACTTATGCTGCAGGGCACGTGAGCGTTTTGGCGGTCACTCCTTTCTTCCGGATACAAAGTGGTGATCCGTTTCGCGCATGTGGGCATTGAGGGTTCAGGGCTTAGGGTTGTTCTTGGAAAATTAAACATTGAGTTGCCAGAATGTGGTTGCCTGGTCAGGGTAGCTGAATTTGACTTCCTGAGATGCCTGTATAACCCCTATATGCCCGAGTTTCCATGTCATTTTCCATGTCATTCTCCATATGATTTTCCATGTGATTTTCGATTTTATTTTCGATTCGATTCTCCATTATCCCTAAACCCCAAACCCTCCAGTTCCTTGACAGCAGCCCAGACTCTTGTGTCCCGGTTACAAGACGCAGGATGAGTGGTATTTTTTTCTGGGCTACTACGGTTCCCAATATAGAGCAAGATGACCCCCTAAACCCTAAACCCTTAACTCTAATCTCTAGTCTATACAAGGAAAATAGTCCTACTAGACTCAACAACCACAAGAACATTACTCAGATTACAGAAGGCCAGCTTGGGTGGTTACACCGTGCAGAGTTTAGAGTTCCCTGAGGTCTACAGGGTTTAGGATTTAGGGCCCTAAGCCCTAAAGAATTGGCGTTTCTGATTGTTTTCAATCCTGCTTATATAACCCCTGTAGAATCCCCATATAGTCATCAAACCCTAAGCCCTAAACCCCAAACCCTAAACCTTGAACCTTGAACTTCAAACCCTAAACCCTAAACTCTAAATCCCTTCAACCGTTTCTTGCAGGCAAGGGGGGTGCCCAGAAGACAAAGGATGACACGTACGCGGCCACCTCCAGGCGAGGGCCTCGTGGTTGAGGGTTTAGGGTTGGGTATTGCGTTTAGAGTTTAGGGTCTAGAGTTCAGGGTTTAGGGTTAGAGTTTAGGGTCTAGAGTTCAGGGTTTAGGGTTTAGGCTTCGGAGGCTTGAAAGGATGTGGTCATACACGAGCTTTGCAAAGTTAGGGGGGAGGGTTGGGTTTAGCGTTTGGGGTACTTGAACAATGAGGTCTTTTCTGGAGGTGTTAGAGTCCGTGTTTTAGTGGGGACCCAGAGACCAGAATTTGACTACCCACCACAGGATTTTCCAGGGAGGCATAGGTATCAAAAAAGAGAAGCATCAAGAGTATTCATGAGCATCAAAAAATACGAAATCAGCTGAGAAAAACTAGGAGAACTGTGAATCCCCAGGCTGTTCCGATCCTTTTCCTTTAGTTCTGTAGTTCTCTGGTCAGTCTTGCATGAAGTCGAAACCCTGGAATACTGAAGCAATAAAAGTAGCAATCTTAGTAAATACAGAATTGGAAGCAGCCATCGCAGTCGTACTGTTGATAGTAGCTTTAGTAAGCATAGTGGTCATGGTCATGAACCCTCGTCAACAATTGCCACGAGGCTCCAGAATCCATTACAATTTGGCCCTTCGCCACGGAGAGGTTCCAAAAGCCAGGACAGTTCTGCACTTCGCAGATACGAAGCTCCAACAGCCATGACAGTTTCTGCACTTCGCCACTGAAAGGCTCCAAAAGCGACGACAGTTTTGGACTTGGCCACCACGAGGCTCCAAAAGCGATGGCAGTCACGCACTTTGCAGATATGAGATTCCAAAAGCGAAAACATCTCTGGACGTGGCCACCACGAGGCTTCAAAAGAGACGACAGGTCTGAATTATCGCGACCAAGGATTTCCGCTCAACCTTTTTTGATGTTAACCAATTTTGTTTTGGAGCTTGTAGGGTATGGTCCTCTTTTTGATGCTGATCAATTTCTTGATACTTCAACCATCCGGGGATATAGAAAGTTCCGGGTTCAGGGTGTTTCATCCCCCTTAAGTAGATAGAATATTGGGTATATGGGGATCTTATAATAATATACCCAAAGCCATATTCTATCTACTTAAGGGGGACTATAGGATTTTGGTTCTGCTCAGCGGGGTTGATGGTTTAGGCATTTAGGGTTTCCAAGTTTTAGGATTGAGGAGCCCCTGAGCTTTTTGTGATACTTGTTGCAGTATATGTGCTGCCTGTGGGTTTTGTTTACGAGAAGTGCCACTATCCCAACCACTGCTGTTTCTATATGGGTGGTTTTCGAAATTATGGTCCCTTTTTGGATCCCTATTATAATGCGGCACCTAATACTTCAGTGTAGACCGTAACTTTGACGACCACCCATATAGTTAGAGAGAACCTGGACCCTAGTGTCAGACAAGGACCAAACCCTGGACCTGAACCCCTTACAATCATCCCTATATAACCCAGTATACGATAGTAGTTTCCATTTTCCTTTCCATTATCCCTATATAACCCCAATATCTGTCATTGTCATCGTTTCGGTGCTTACAATTGCTGGGCCTGCGGTCTCCAGAGCTTTCTACCTTAGCGGAATGTAGCTTCATGTGATGTTTAGAATTGCAGCTGCTGGCCTTACTCTTGAGTGACTGCCCCTTTACCCCCCTATAATACTAAACCAAGTATAGAAGACCACTAACTGGGGTGGTCTTGATTATTAGGGTAGGGAGATTGATGATCTAGGGAGGCTTCGTAGGCCTGAAGCGCTGAGCCTCAAGCAGCTGCCCAGCACCACTAATAACACTCACGTTGTATGATTGGAGATAAAAGATCCTTGTGGAATAGATTGCTACATTTCTCTGGACTAATTTTAAGAGCATACATCCAGTCCTAGATATCTCTTATAAAGTCCCCACGTAAGCTCATGTCATTCATGAATCTGTACGGAAAGGGAGATGATGGAGCGCCAGAATGACGAAGCCATCGAGGACCTGGAGGCAAAGGTGGGGCAGCTGAAGGACATCACGAGGACGGCTGTGGCCATCCACCGGGTATAGCCTTACGCAGGTCATGTGGTTTAGGGTTGTGCCATGGATGCAGAGGAGGTTGATGGATGAAGGGGTAGTTAGCATTCGAGGTCGGTAGTGGTGTTTAGGTTTTGGATAAACATTGCAGCATGCAGTTGTGATGTACACAAGGTCAAGGGCTGTCTAGGGCGGGCGAGGGCGAGGGCCGTTCAATTTGTCTTGGTGGGGATGGCATTTTCTCAAAACAATTGCGAATTTTCAATGCAGTTCCCACATGCACCGCTGTGACCTGTTTACTTCTTCCTGACGTGCACAGCATAAACTGGGTTGCCGTTAAGGAACTTAAAATTAGTTACTGTTATGGGGAAACCCTATTATTTACTATATATACCCATTATGGTAACTTAATTTAAGTTCCTTAACAGCAACCCAGTAAAAGCCGGGATTTCGTTTCCTTCCACTTCCTGGGAGGAACATCGGCTCCTCCATCAAAGATTCCAATAGCCTGCTCGACACCATGGGCCCCATGCTCAACTTTTGGGTTTAGGGTTTAGGGTTTAGGGTTTTGGGGTTTAGGGTTTAGGGTTTGGGCCACATGCTCAACTTTTGGCTGATGAGGGTGTTCCCAAGCATTCGCTGTCTGCCCCCGGAATAAGCAGCAGCCTTATTTCGGGAGTGGAAGGTGACCACAAGCAAAACAAGTTGGCCTGAACCCTGAGCATAGTCACCTTAAATCCTAAACCCTGAACCCTAAACATCGATATGCTCTACCCATACTTGGCCCCAAAGCCGGCCCAAGCAAGCCCTCAAAGAGCTGGCACGACACGTGTGAGTGTTTGATCCCCAAACTGAGCAGTACCCTGACTCTACTTACTGCAGCCAAGGCTCGCAAAACAGAGCAACAGAGAATCCGACCACCCCAACATCCCCCAAAACAGAGACTTCCCCCACACCCCCCAAACCCAACCTCCAAACCCCCCATCTTGAAGCGAGACTCTGTGGGCTGGGCACGCCTGGTTGCTGATATGGCTGCACTGCTGATCTACAATCGCTGCTGTTGCGCGCGCTCTGCGGCAAAGTCACTTCAGCACTGCAGGGTTGGCTTGTGTGTGCCAAGGCATCGACTTCGACAAGGCTGCCGGGCTGCTCAAGGGCACCCTTGGCAACTTGAAGGCGGCCGCTAAGGTTTTTTCAAGGTTCAGAGCAGGTCGAGACGCTTGGGTGTGGAGTTGCTGCACGGTGGGTGATGGATGTAGCGCAAAGCGTTCTCAGCTGGCCTATCCTGTTATTGTCATGCGATTCAATTCGAAGCCAGTCTTACTTACTTGTGCTAGTTTGCCATTTCAATTCGCAGGATGTTGCATTATGCCAAAAGGTTAATGTCACATGTACTCTCATCTGAGGAGATGCAACAAGCGACTACTCCGTATGTCGGTAACAGAATGATCAAATATTGATGCAGCGCTTGGCAGGGGATGATGGCCAACAAGAGCAGCAAACACATGATCTACATGGTGCTCTTTGCCCGCTACCCAGAGAAGCAACTTTCCCTGCTGTACTGGGCATCACCTTCAAGCAGAGGGAATATGCCATTTGCCCATCTCATCCTAGGAAAGCTTTCTTTGTGTTTCCGTGTTTAGGATGATCCTAAACCCTAAACCCTAAACCCTAGTTCGTACGCACTTGGATGTACTTGGTTTGAGGGAGACCACAAGTCAGCAGCCATGCTTGATCGCACGTCAGGCCACCCTGGACCCCGACAGCCCAACCCTAAACCCTCAACACCCTAAACCGAAGTCTTGGTACTCATGAAACTGGGTTGCTGTTAAGGAACTTAAATTAAGTTACTATATTGGGGAAACCCTACTATTTACTATATATACCCATTCTGGTAACTTACGTAATTTAAGTTCCTTAACAGCAACCCAGTAAAGTCCCTGTGCTCTGTTCAGGTCGTGTGCCTGTTCCTCCTGATGTACTTCCTGAGGAAGATGAGCTTCAGTGGGCCCGAACCCTCAAGCTCTGAGGTCTTAGATTTGGATAGTAAGAATGGAAAATCAAATGGAAAAGCACGTGGAAAATGGAATGGAAACTGAGATTCTTTTGTCGCGTTAGGGTTAGGCTACGTGAATTGTTTGTTGTATGATGGTTACGGTGAGTGTGTGTTTGAATTGGGTGTCCAGTTTGGGGGAGTCGAAATTACGTAAGATCCTGACATTTGTAAATGTTATCTTTTAGATACCAGCGCAATAAGGAGTGCAAATTGAAGTTGTAATGGTCTCCCATTAGGCCAATTTCGATTTTCGGGGATGAGGGTTTAGGGTTTAGGGTTGAGAGTTTAGGGTTTTTTGTGGGTACTATTCCTGCCTCGAAGTGGGGGTCGAATAGAGGACTTTAGTTCCGAATTGAATTGCCCCATTCCTGTTGCGGTTTCTCAAGGTGCTGTCGCTTTCTGTTTGCTGTGACATGTATAGCCACCTAGTCAGCCACCTCTCCGAAACCCTACACACTAAACCCCCATGTCCAGGTGCCTATGGGTCACCTTTTGGGATTTTCCTCTGGCGTATGTTTTTGCGAATGGCTGATGTGGATGTGATCATTCCGCTCCTGCACAATGGCGCTTTCTGACCTCTAGCAGGCAGAAAAAGGAGTGACAAAAATCTAAACCCTATACCCTAAATCTCTAAGCCGCAAACTCGTAATCCCAAAATCCTAAGCCCTGAACCTAAACCCCTAAACCCCAAATCCTAAACCCTGAACTGAACTCCTAAACCCCTAAACCTCAAACCCTACACCCCTAGATCCTAAACCCTAATATAAAACCTCCCACTCCCCTAATAACAAACATTCCCATTGTGGTGTATTGTAAATCTTAGGCATATTTAACATCAGGGGGGCATGGGGGCGTTTGATATTTGAGGGAAGAGGAGTCATTGAAGAGAGCATTATGAGTTGTACTGATTTTGGGCTGCCCTCAACCCTAAACCCTAACCCCTAAATCCCTAAACCCTAAATCCTTAAACGCTAAATCCCTAAATCCCTAAACCCTAAACCCTAAACTCTAAATCCATAAATCCCTAAACCCTAAACCGCTCATTTGT